AATTGCTATTTCCCAATTAAAACTCTTTAAAATTTTTAAAAGGGTAAAAATTAGTACAGAGAAACTCTGGAATCATGTTATCTCATTGGTTCCTAATACATTTAAACTTTAGGACTTCCTCTACCTTCATGCATTTCTGAGACTATCTCAAGTTCCACCTAAAATGTGTACTATTCCAAAGAAACAAATGGTCCATCTTATATATTCTAAGCATCTGCCATATAGGAGAAGAGAGATCATTGATCTTGCTCAAAAATTACTGCCCCTGTCAGTTGTCCCCATGGTGCTCATGAAATAAAGTAGGGTTCAATGAATAAATTTTAAAACTTGATTATACTGTACTCTTCTATTAGTTAATATGGATATTAAGCAAAGTAAATAAATATTAGGCTGATTTAAATTGAAAGGAAAATGCAAAAATTTTGTGTGCTTTTATCTGGAAAATTGATGTCTGAGGATAAAAATTAGCATAAACCTCATTAATGTGTAGTATTATTGTTCAAACCAGCAGATATTACACTGCAGTTAATTGTATTAACAATTAAGACAAAGGAAATCCTTTTTAGCTTGAATAGCAGCTTTAAACTAATCATTTCAAACGTGGGAAATGAAATGAATAATTTTGTTTAAAAAGCATTTGTCCTTTGAACTTCAGTCTATTCAACTTCTGAAATGCTTATTAAAACAGAGTTCTGTTCAGCACATTTTAAACTTTAAATAATTATACCACCCAGTGTGCATTTCTGTAAAACATCAGTAGCTGACAATACTATTTCATAAAACATTTATATTAGATTATACAGTTGTTCTTACAGTTCAGAAGGCGGGGGTGGAGAAAAACTTTCTTAATAAGGTGACAAACTGAAGGGAGTTACAGGGAATTTATTCAAGAAGGCTAAACCTGAAATGATCCAAAGCATCAGAACTAATGACTGTAATGTCTTCACCTTGCTAAAGGAAATCAATACATTCTTTGATTGTTATTCTTTTTGCCAGTTGGTCAGACCCATATCTGATAATGACAAGATGAGATCTTTCCCTGAGTAATGTCAGCTCAAAAAGCTACCTGAACAACCATTACCAAATTAAGCATTTATGGGGTTATAAACACCTTCCCATAATGAGACAATACTTCCATGTCAGATGATATCATTAGAAATATATAGAAATATTGAGTTCTATTGCTAAAGTGTTCATTTATATGTTCTAATTCTTGTTTCACAGTGAAAAACAAACGGACATGCACACACATATATGTGTAAGTCATCTTTTAGTTATTGTAACGAATACCTGAGATGATCAATTTACAAAGAGGAAAGGCTTACTTTGGATCATAGTTTCTGAGTCCATAATTGGATGAACCCATTGCTTTGGGCCTGCAATGGTACATTATAGCAGAATATGGTAAGAAAAGCTATTCATCTGATGACCGAGAACTGAAAGAGAAAGAAAAAGAAAGTGACTGGGGTCCTACAGTCTTTTTCAAAGGCATGCCCCCAATGACATGAAGTCCTCTCACCAGGCCCAATCTCTTAAAAGTTTTTACCACTTCCCAATAGTGCAAAGTTGAGGACCAGGCCTTTAACAATGGATCTTGAGGACAATTATCCAAACCATAATGTTTACACACACACACACACACACACACACACACACACACACAAATACCACCTTATAAGCAAAGTAAGAATAAAATAAATACAGTAAAATAAAGAAATGTGTGTCATAGAGGCATCTTTTGCACATTCAGTCACCAGCTGGTTTTAAAGTTTGCACTAATTTTGGAGGTATTTCAGCAATGGAATCAAAAAAAATTCAATGTTATTATCTGTTAAGAAAAAGATAAAACATAACATGATGAACTATGACTCTTACTTCAATTCATAGCATAGCCCTATACTCAAATGTTCAAGTTAGAAATAAAATTACTTAATAAATTTCATTAAATATATAGCATTTAGTTCCAATTATATAGAAACGAATAAGACAGAACCAATGCCTGGTTTCACATACCTGAAAGAGAAGCAGAGATGATAGACAAAAGAAACTTAGTAGGGAAGACAGACTATGAAATGACTAAATAAGTTATCACCACAAAGTGTCAAGTGTGTTCTTATAAATTATTAGGGGGAATAGGCCTTGGAATGTTCTTTGAGGAAATGGCCTTGACTGAGAGAGCTGAGACTTGAGTAGGAGATCCCGGTGAGAAAAGAGCCAGGTAGAAAGAAACCAGAGCCCTTCCCCCCACATGAAATAGTCCAAGTATTCAACATTTTTTAGCTGAATCATGAAGTAATTTTCTAACAGTGCTGCCTCCAATCCTTCCCCCAGCTCAGCTTCTCCATGGTGTCTCAAGTAGCATTTCTTAGAGATCAAAATCTTTCAAAGAGACAGTACTGACCAGTCTAGAGAATTACTTATGGGCCTCTTAACAAGACACTTGAACTTCACAATTCCTTGTGGATTTCTCTTCCCAGCTTCATTGTCAGTCACTTCTCAGATAGGATGGCCTCTCCAAGATATCCATGCCCTAATCCCTGGATTCTGTGGCTATAGTACATAACAAACAAGACTTCATAGGTTTAATAAAAGTTACAGAACTTATTAACAAAAGAGGTGAAAGACCTTTACAATGAAAGCTACAGAACACTAAAGAAAGAAATTGAAGAAGACCTTAGAAGATGGAAAGATTTACCTTGCTCCTGGATAGGCAGAATTAATATTGTCAAAATGGCCATACTACCCAAAGTGCTATAAAATTTCAATGAGATTCCAATTAAAATACCAATGTCATTTCTTATAGATATATAAAAATAATCATGAAATTCATCTGGAAAAATAAGAGACCCAGAATAGCCAAAGCCTTAACAAGAAAAGTGAAGCAGGAGGTATCACTATACAAGATCTTAAGCTATACTTCAAAGCAATAGTAACAAAAACGGCATGGTATTGGCACAAAAATAGACATCTAGACCAGTGGTACAGAATAGAAGTCACAGAGGCAAATCCACATAAATACACTTACTCATATTAGATAAAGGCACCAAAAACACACATTGGGGGAAAAAAATCCTCTTTAACAAATGGTGCTGGGGGAACTGGAAATCCATATGCAGTAAAATGAAATTTAACTCCTATCTCTCACCATGCACAAATATCAACACAAAGTGGATCAAGGACCAAGGATTAGACCAAAGGCCCTACACATAATAGAAGAAAAAGTAGGCCCAAATTTCCATCATGTCAGATTAGGCCCCAACTTCCTTAACAAGACTCCTAAAATACAGAAATAAAAGCAAAAATTAATAAATAGGATGGATTCAAACTAAAAAGTTTTTTCCCAGATAAAGAAATAATCAGGTGAAGAGAGAGCCTACATTTTGGAAGCAAGTTTTTTGCCACACACATATCAGATACAGCACTAATATCCAGGATATATAAAGAACTCAAAAAAACTTAACACCAAAAAAACCCCAATCAGTAAATTGGCTAAGGAGCTGAACAGACACTTCTCAGAAGATGATATACTTTTGATCTACAAATATATATAAAAAAAATTCAAGAACTCTAGCAATTACAGATTTAATCTCACTCCAGTCAGAATGGCAGTTATCAAGAATATAAAATACAATAAGTGTTGGCAAGGATTTGGGGGAAAAGACACACTCATACACTGCTGGTGGGACTGAAAATTGGTGCAACCAATCTGGACAGCAGAATGGAAATTCCTTATAAAACTTGAAATGGAACAACCATTTTACCCACCTTCTTGGTCTATACACAAAGGTCTTAAAAACAGCATATTACAGTTACACAGCCACATCAGTGTTCAAAGCAGCACAATTCACAATAGCCAAATTGTGGAACAAACCTAGGTGCCCTTCAGTAGATGAAAGGATAAAGAAACTGTGATATATATAACCACAATGGAATATTACTCAGGAATAAAAGAGAATAAAATATGGCATTTGCAAGTAAATGGATGAAGTTATAGAATATCATGCTAAGCAAAATAAGCCAACCCCAAAAAACCAAAGGCCAAATGTTTTCTCTGATAAGTGGATGCTTATCCACAATATTTGGGGGGCATGGGATGAGTGGAGGAAATTTTGATGGGGCAAAGAGAAGGGGGGCAGGGGCATGGGGGAAGGAAAGATGGTAGGATGAGACCAACATCATTACCCTACGTACATGTATGACTGCACAAATGGTGTGACCCTGCTTTGGGTACATCCAGAGAAGTCAAAAAGTATGCTCCATCTGTGTACAATGAATCAAAGAACATTTTGCTATCATGTATAACTGATAAGAAAAAATAAACAAATTTTATAAAAGAATAAAAAAGTTATAGATTTTTTAAAAAGAGAATATCATGGATTATCCAGGCAGACCTAACCTAATCCCATTAACCATTAGAAGCAGAACATTTTCCCCAGCTGGAATTAAGGAGATCCAGCAAAAGGAAAAATCAGAATAATTGGAAGCATGAGAAACATTCATTGTACCAACACTTGTTTGAAGATGGAGAGAGCAATGTAGTGAGGAAAGCAGATGAGCATAAGGAACAGAGAGGATCCCATCTGACTGACAGAAAAAAAAAAAACAGTCACTTTAGCCCTTTTGCCATCAAGAACTGAATTCAACCAACAATCACAACAAGCTTGGAATCAGATGTTCCCTCACAGCTCAGGTCAACCAGTACTTTGATCTGAGAGACTGAGCAGAGTATTGAGGTACATATTCCAGCTCCCTAGTCCCTGTGAATCTCAGCCATCACAAGATACATGCACAGAGATGAAAGATTGCACTAAATATTGAGTGATCTTTGGTTGAATTAGTAATTCCAATTGACTCAATTGAATACCTGAATAATTAGTATTAAAAGAATCAAGTGAAAGAAGGGGGAAGTGATAATCCTTAAAGGTACTTAATTAGACTATAATTTTTTTTGAGACTGCTCTCCATTTTTGGCAAGAGTAAGGTTCAAAACATGGAAGCCAGTACTCACTTTGATAGTACATATGCTAAAATTTCAATGATAGAGAAAATTTAGCATGGTCCCTGTATGAGGATAACATGCAGATTCATGAATCGTTCCATATTTTTTAAAAAAACTAAAATATTATAAATGGAAATTGAAGTAGAATGTTAAATGTAGACAGCACTTGTGCCATTTCTGTATCTACTGCCATCACTTCTATTGAACTTGTGCTGAAACAGTTATGCAACGAAAAGCATAGGTGTGATATGCAGAATTCTAAGGTATAACTTCAAGCTTCTTGTCTTCTAGCAATCAAGTCCTAGCCTATAAATTTCAAAGTTATTTGACTTTAACATCTGAGTGGCCCTGACCTGATTAATTAAGACCTCTTAAGTTGGGGACCTTTTCAGTTTGGGAGGCTGAGACAGAAAGATCACAAGTTCTAAGTCAGCCTCAGCAACTTAGCAAAACCCTGATTCAAAATAAAAAGGACCAAGGATGTAGCCTGGTGGTATAGCAGCCCTGAATTCAATCTTTGGTAGAAGGAAGGAAGGAAGGAAGGAAGGAAGGAAGGGAGGGAGGGAGGGAGGGAAAGAGAGAGAGAGGGAGGGAGACCTTTCTCTGACTGATGGCAGAAGAGGGAAATAAAGGGTTAAAACAGAGATTCAATACACATAAAGGAATTAACACACAATTTCTGGCACTGAAGACAGAACAGGCCACGAGACAAGTAATGTGGGTCAATGAAAGCTGTGAACCAGTACCAACTGACATTCATCTAGGAAATGGGTACTTTTGTTCTACAATGTTATGAAACTGAATTCTTCAAAAAATGTAAATGAACAGAAAAGCAGATTCTCCCCTGGAGCCTTCAGATAATATTCTAGGTTTTCTGACACTTTGGTTTTACCCTAGTGGCAACCTAAGCAAAGAATCTAGTTAAACCCACCTGGACTATTGAACTACAGAAACCATGAGGTAATAAATAACTGCCATGGTAGTTTGTTATTGCAGCAATTGAAAACCAATATAAAACATATTGAAATATCTACAAATCTAGCACAGCTCCTCTGATAGCCATCTCCAGTGGTTTATCCTTAAAGAAATTGTGAAAAATATTAGTGTGGATTCTGAATACTATGTCCAGACTTGCTCCTTTAGTGGGTATTTCTTATGGTAGGTGACATGTCCCTGTTACTTAACATCTAAAAATCTTAAATGCCTGATGTGTAAAATGCAGATAATAAAACAAAGCTAGTACCCATTCAAGGGATTAAATGAGGCAACCCTTAAATATTTGAAGTAGAGCCTGGCACATAGTAAATAGTCATAAAACATTTCTTCATCACGTTATCTGCTCTCAAATGGCTTTTTCTTGACTCATTTCCTAATAATCAATTCTTAATCTTTGCACACGCATTTCCTCAAAATGTGGTGTTTATCCTTTGGGGCCAACTAAATACATTCTCTCTATATAATCTGAGGATTCTGATTTTTTTCACCAGGAAGTTTATCTTTATTTTTGTGATATCCATGTATGGTTTCTTATACTGGTTTAGGGAAAGTCAAAAAACTACTTTGACTTGAAGAATATTTTCCTCTTTGGAGAAGTCTCTATTTGTGTGGCATCACATTATTCCCAGTATAATAATCTTATAACGTCTCTAGGCAACCATGGCAGGAAACATTAGTGATTAATCATTTTGGTGCCACATTATGCAGGTTTTGCAAACTTTTCATCATTTTACTATAGTTGGGCCTTAGTTATTGAATCATCAATTTTTTAAATGAATAGTCAACCATGCTCAGAAAATAAATTAACTGATATTATGCCAACAAATATTATAATTCAAGGGATTAAATCTGTTTCCTGATCCAAAATTTAGGCATATCAGGAATAACTAACATTTTAAATATGTACTACTGATTTTCACTCTAATTGATATGGATTTATTATAAAAGTTCCTCCAAAATTGTGGGGTTTTCTTTTTAGGAATAATGTAAACTCTATAATCCAATATATAGTTCAAAAAGAAGTCATTAAACTTCTCCAAATATATTTCCTCCTTTGTAATAGACACTAGCCCTACCTTTTTTAATAAGTTATTGTTTAGTAATTATAAAGAAGGTGAATTATAACGTTAGCACCAAATTTTTATCTTTTTAACATAAAATTTACAGGCAGTAAAATACCCAGGTTATAAATGTAAACTTTTATGATTTGACAAATATACATAACTGTGATCACCACCATAATCAAACTCCAGAATATTTTTATCATCCTATAAATTCCATCAGTTCTCTTTATGGTCAATTCTCTTTTAAAATGTTCTTTCCTCTTCCTGTCCAAGATAATGACTACTTTGATTTCTGTAGTCATTGGTTAGTATTGCCTCTTCCAAAATTTCATTATAAATTTGCGCAGTATACAAGCTTTTGTATCTGGCAGTTTTCTACAGCATTGCTTTTTTAAATTTTTATACCTTTATTTTGTTTATATATGTTTATGTGGTGCTGATAATCGAATCCAGTGCCTCACATGTGCGAGGCAAGCACTCTACTACTAAGCCACAACCCCAGCCCCAATACCATTGTTTTTGAGATCATCCATGTCATATGCCTCCATAGTTTGCTTCTTTTTAAAGCTGGATAGTATTCAATTTTATAAAAACTATTACAATTTCTTAAATTTTCACTTAAGTGGATATTTTAGTTATTTCCAGTTTTAGATTACTATGAATAAACTTGCTATAAAATTTATAACAGAAAACATTATGGATATTAAGTTTCATTTCTTACAAGTAAATATGTAGAAATGGAATAAATGTGTAGAAGTTAAATATTCCACTTTATTGACTTTATAAGGAACATTTGAAAGTTATGCTCTGTGGTTGTAACATTTTACACTCCCACCTGCAAGATATGAGCCTTACAGTTGTTTCCCTCTCTCATCAACATTGAGGTTGCCTGCCTGTCAGTCTTTCTCCTTTAAAAATGTTAGCCATTCTACACTGTGGGAAAGTGGGTATTAAATATATTTAGCCAGGTACTTCTAATTTGTGTTTCCCTGTTGACTAAAGATATTAAGTATCTGCTTACTGGCCTTTGGGATATTTTATTTTGTATAGAATGTAGTAAACTCTTTTGACATTTTATTGTGCTATTTTCTTTTACTTCTGATTTGCAGGCATTCATTATATATTCTGCATATTAATTTTTCAGGTACTTGTACTGTGAATAACATCTCAAATCTGCTATTTTAATTTTATAATAGTTTTTATGGAATTCAACTCTTAAATTGTTTCTTTTTTGATCAGTACTTTTTTGTCCTAAGAAATCTTTGACTATCTCAAAATTTCACACATATTCTCTAGTGTTTTCATTTAGAAGCTTTGTAGTTTTAATTTTTATGTTTACATCTATTATATATCTATAACTCTGATTTATTTTTGTATGTACTATGAAGTAGGGATGAAGGTTGGTTGGTTTTTGTAAAATATATAACATTATATATATATATATATATATAACACAAGTTGTTGAAAGGGCTTTCTTTCCTCATTGAATTGCCTTGAAAAATAGTTTCAAAAAGTTCACCACATACATATAAGTTTATTCAGGTCTCTCTATTCATATTCATTGATCTGTTCATTATCTTTATGACAATGATAACCTCTTTTTATATATAACTTTATTTTATTTATGTGGTGCTGAGGATCAAACCCAGGGCCTTGCATGTGAGAGGAGAGCGCTCTACCACTGAGCCACAACCCTAGCCCCCACCCCCACCCCCACCCCCCACCCCGCTCTTTTGATTCTTGTAGTTTTATAACTAGCCTTAGAGTCAGTAAGCATTCATAATTTACTTTAAGAGTATTTGGCCTTTATAATTTCTTTTGATTCCCACAATAAATTCAGAAGTCTGCTTGTTAATTTCTGTTAAAATGTAATTTATACTAAAATTGCATTGAGTCTGTAGATCAAGTTGGGAACAGTTAATATATTAACAATATTGAATGTTTCAATCCCTGGATTTGGTATATATGTTGAACCATTTAGGGTCTGTCATTAATTTTGGAAAATTATCAGTTATTTTTAATTAATATGTTACTTCTATTTCTTTCTCCCTTTCTTATCCTTTGGTTATCACTATTATAACTTTTGTCATTATCTGACATTCCTTGGATATTCTGGGTTTCTTTTCTTTCTTTTCCTTACCTCCTTCCTCCCCCTCTTCTTTCTTTCTTTTCAAATTCTTTCTCCTGACTTTTTATTTGGGGAAGTTTCTGTTGATGTGTCTTCGAGCCCCTTTATTCTTTCTTTGGTTTTGTACAGTCTATTGATGAGCTCATTAAAGGAATTCCTCACTCTTGTCACAGTGTTCTTGATCTCTTGCAATTCCTTTTCTATTCTTTCTTAGAGTTTCCATTTCTATGGTTACATTGTATTTCTGTTCTTACATGTTGCTCACATTTTCCATTAAACTTCTTGGCATATTATCATAATTATTTTAAACTCTTGGACCAATAATTTCAAAATCACTTAGTGGGAAAGTTACATTTATTACATATTCAATTTCTTTTACAAATAATATATTATTCAAATTTCCTATATTTTATCACACCCATCTTGGCAATTGGTGTCATTTGAGAATTAGTCTATATCATGTTACTTGTTGGTTTTGTTGGCATAAAGTTGCTCAGAATATTCTCTGTGTATTTTTTTTGAGGAAGGGAGAGGTACCAGCGATTGAACTCAGGGCACTCAACCACTAAGCCACATCTTTAGCCTTATTTTATATTTTTATTTAGAGACAGGGTCTCACTGAGTTGCTTGGAGCCTCGATTTTGCTGAGACTGGTTATGAACTTGACATCCTCCTGTCTCAGCCTCCCAAGTCACTGGGATTACAGGTGTGTGCCGCCATGCTCAGTTTTTCCCTTTATTTTTGATCCATAATTTGACTGTGATTTGCCAACATGCAGTTTTCTTTTAGATAATCCTATTATGAGTTTCCTTCTTAGAATTGTGAATTGATGTTTTCTTTGCTGGTTTTTTTTAAACTAAAGTTAGTAATGTTTAAGCTGTTATTTTAGCATTTTGTGCCACATTCTTTCTTTCCTGGA